CAATTTGTTACTCTAATTCAACTAAATCTTATGTATGCTTAGTTCCTTTATTTTATTTCTGTTTTCTGATATTTGCACCATTTGTTAATACCAATACCAAAATAAGAATAGCTATATGTCTCATTTTTTTATTATATTAATCCGTTTTATATACATCCTAAATTAAAATTCAATATAATCAAATAGAGTATTTTATCATTTTTTAGTCCTTACAACAATAACTATTTTTGAAGAACATCTATCAGATAATGTTTAAAAAATTATTGAAATTTTGAATCTAAAAATATTTATATTTAATTTTTATTAAATAAACTTATTCCAATTCACTATCAAAGGTAAACTAAAGAAATATTAAAAATTTTTTGATATTAAGGCTCTATTTTTGCTTTTTTAAAATTCTAATAATTTATTTTTTCCTCTAAAATATTAATTATTTAAACAATACTTCTATTTATTATCAGTTTAAATTTTATAAATATGTTAAAGGTTCATAATACAGACTCTAATAAATATATGATTAAAATTACACTAGATAGGTCCATAATAATAGAAATATTTTTTAGACAAATTATATGCTCAAAAACTAAGTAATAAATTTAATATAAAACTAAAATTTCAAATAAAATTTAGATCATGAATAATACAATATTCCTAAAATGGAATTATTTATAAATTATTAGAATTTTAGAAGAAATAATCTTTTTTAAAATTTATGAAATTTATTTAAACAAGGAAAGATTGGCAACTTTTTTATCGTATTAATATGATATATATCAATAACAAAAAAATTAATTCAATATAAAAGACTTATTTAAATAGGGCAATGATGATCTATCTAGTTAAACTATCCACCTTTGTTTATTTATGTGATTTTTAATAATTTATATTTTGTCTGAGAACAAATTCATTAGGTTTTTGAGTGTTTTTTCTATTTCACTTTTCACTTTATTAAAATGAACACTAAGTATTGTTACTATATTTTCATAAAACATGAAACTAACTCCTCTTTTATCATAATGATCAACCATAAATTTTAACATATCAATATGAAACTATACTAATTCCTATGAAAAGATTGGCTTCTTTAATTTAATAGGTTTTATATCAGGAGAATCATTCAAATCAAAATCATTGTGATATAGTTTGAATTAAGATCCAAAATGTTCAAAATCTTCACATTTAATCAATGATAAATGTTCTTTATGTTTCATTTAGACTTATTAATCTAGTTTGTCTCTTAAATTTTTTAATCTTTTCTCTATTAATTCTGAAGTTTAAGTATTATCTAGAGAATTTTTTACAATAGATTTATCATTATTGTTATGATTATTTTAAAATGGATGCTAAATAACAATTCCATCTTAAATTCCTTTTATTTTATATAAACTAGGTTCCAAAGTTAAAAGTTAAAGAACTTATATGATATCTGAGAAATTGTTATGCACAGTAAATTATATTTAACATTAATTTCTTAAGTAATTCATTTCTATTCTCTTGCATAAATCTAAAAGTGATGCATATTTCTTTGGAAGTGGATAAAATCCACCTTTTTAATGTTCTCCATATTTTTATCTTAAACTAAGAAAAGGTATAAATGATTTCTCCTATTTTTTTATGATATCTGACATTGTTTCATCTTCAAATGAGTTAAAAAGGTCTAATTTCACTTTCTTAACAGTAGGTAAGAAACATTCACTAATAAATGAGAAATCGGACATAATTTTATTATTTCTTCCTTTCTTATTAACCGCACTATTTTAATTACAATATGTGCGCCTAAAATTAATTTTATAATTAAAATTTAGCTATAAATTTACAAATTTTAACAATCTAACTTTTATTACTAAAAACATTAAGCACCATATAAATTAGGAAGTAACTTATAAGACATAGTTATTAAATAGTATATTATAATATTTTTGTCATTAATTAAAATTTATAGCATAAATTAAAATTCAAGAAAATAATCCTTTTGAACTTTCTTTTTAAATTATGTTTTTCCATGCCCCTTTATCAATGTTTAATTTGATTTCTTATTTTTCTTTAACCCTCTATAATAATTTGTTAGCTTTTTCAATTTTTATTGTTTTTTTATCGACACCCTTTACTATTTCTGTTTTAATTTATTTCTTTGCTTGTTCTATTTTTTTTTCTTCATTCTTTTTTATCAATCTTTAATCAATGTTGTTGGGATCAAATTTAGGAACAATAAGATTATATTTCTTTTTATCAGGTTTTTTTTAATAAGAAATAAAAGCGGCATCATCAGGCATTAATTTTGAAAGAATAGCTAATTATTAATTAACTTCTTCTTAATATGATTTAATTTGTAATTGTTTTTCATCAATTTCCATTTCTAAATCTTATTCTTCATCAGAACTTTCTTAGATTAAATCTTATTATAAATCTTTAAATTTCTTTGTCAATTTATCAACATTGAGATCATCATTAAATTTCTCATCTAATTTAAATCTTGAATCTCCTTTATAAGATTTTTGTAATTCAACTAACAATTAGCCTTTCTTGCCTGTAGCCTTTTTGTTAAATTCAACATCCTTAACAACTCCTTTCAGCCATTCTTCAGCAAGAATTTTCCTAGCCATATAAATAATTATTTATAATTTCTCATTTTATATATAAAATTTTAATTGAATTACAACAATAAAAAATATTGAGGAAACTTAAATTTTATTTGTAATTAAAAATTTTAATTTTTAGATTAATTTTTGCTTTTTAATACCTTTTTAAATAATTTAAAACAAATTTCATTTTTAGATCTACTTTATTTTTTTTTTTTGATTTCTAAATGATGATTATAATTAATTCAAAAAGTTGTTTTTTTTTAAATAATATATATATAAAAATATTTTTAGATATTTAAATAAATGGTTTTATATAATTTATATATATTTAGTTTTTTAAGATATCATTATGGAAAAGCGGTTGGTTATTAGAATTATGTTTATTACTAACGTAAGGCATTATTTTGATTCAGTTAATTTTTAAATTATTGTAATGCTTGTCTACCTCTTGATATATTTTTGCTTACATTAGTTTCATTTCTATAATGAAAAGAATATAAGTTACTTGCCCTAAACCTAAACCAAGTTTTATGTAGGATAATTGTTTGTTATATAAGAATTATTGACTTATATTTAACTTTTCTGATAACCAGAATCACGATAATCTAATTTTATAGGAGGCCTTATTTATTAATTCTAATTTTATTCTATTTAAGAATTAGTATTTATGATTTATGAAGATTAAGTAGGACCATACTATGATATATAAAAAATAAATAAGTACAGCATTATTATTTTGAGAATTTACATAGTTATTATTAGCAACTTATTATTAACCTTATATAGTTGCACTATTTCCTTGAGTTTAAACCTATAATTTTGATTCAAATTCAGATTCTGATGAAGATTCAGATTCTGATGAGGATTCAGAATCTTCACTTGAATCATCATAAATTATTTTTGTTCTCATTTAAGGATTGGTAAATAATGTTGAGATTCCTTATTAAGCATTTAAAACTGCTGTTTATTGAACATCTTAAGTCCAAACATAATTTGGATAAGGATAATCTACATAAATTGGTTTGAATATAGGCACTTATACAGGAATTTAAACTTTCTAGTTTATATGTTATAATAATAATAATTTACTTGAATTCTCATTTCTGCATAATTAATACGATCTGGAGGAGGAAGCATATTAAAAATTAACGATTATGATTATAAATTAATAATTAAATTTTTTTTAAAAACTATTAAATTTTTTACGTAGAAATAGAAAAATAATGTAAAATGCATATCATTTCTGAGTAGCTTCATGTTCTTCTTTGTAAGGAATCATATAATTCACATTCTGAAATGCAAGTCTAAGAAGTCTTAAGATGTTTTATGGATTTAGCTCTATTTCTTAGGTCCTTACCTTATAATATAAATCTTTGAAGTAATTATTCTCTAAGTTTTTGTAATATTGTCTATATTAAGGATCCATTTTTTAGTATTCTGGAAGAAACATTACAATTCCAGGTTCAATTTATTTAATTTTCATTTTGAATTGATCTAAGAAATCTTATGCTGAGTTGTCTTCAACTTTAACTTCATCTTAGAGAGTTTTAGATCTTTAAATGGATTCTTCATCATCATGTTATGATTCCTTTTAATCATTATATTTTTTAATCTTCTTTTTAGGCTTAAGTTCTTCTGCTTTTGGATCATTTTAAATAAACTTTTAAAGTTCCTCTACAAATATTTTCATTTCATCAGACCATTTAAATTTTTAATCTTTGATCTTTTCTAGAAGACTTCTCATTTTATGATAATGAACCTAATTCACCTTTATTAATGGAGGATGTTCATTACACAATTTCATCTAAGTTGATATTTACTTTGATTCACTTACAAAATCTTATCCTTTTGACCATTTCTTTTATTTTATCTTAATTCCATTATTAGTTGGTTCATGACTATTTTTATTTAAAAATTCAGATTCATTATCGTTATCATTGTGTTCTGACTTAGTTGGATCCTTATAAAAACTTTAAAAGTCAAAATTATTATTGATTCTTTCTAAGGCTTCTATTAAAAATTTTGGGGAGAATTTTTATTATTTTCCATTTATTTCGTTTCTTAGAAACTCAGCAACTTCTTATTATATTGATTAAGGGGAGCTCTACTAGTGATTTCCAAACAGTTTAGTTAGGATATGATTATAGAGAGGCACATCGATTAATACATCCAGGTTTTATACTTACGCAAGTTATCAAAGGATGATAAGGAAGACTTTTATTATTAAAATACTTGCGTAGAGAATTAAGAGCTGTTTTCATGAATAATTTCTTTAATCTTTCTTCCTATGATTGATATTTGATTGGTTTTGGAGATTCTTATCTTGACATTTTATTTTAGATTTAATTAAAATTCAATCTTATTTTCTTTTCACTATATAAACCCCCTCAAATTCTATCATTTTTAATTCCTTTACTCAAATAAATACGAACTATGTTTTTTTTATTGTTTTAAATATCTTCAAATAAAAAGCTCTTACAAATAAATTACAAATTTAACTTTCTTTTACATTTATGCTTTAAAATATCTGAATTAATTTTAACTATTATCAACAACATCAAATTATAGATATCAAACCTATTATTTCTTCTATTCTCCTCCTTTTACAATAACATGTTATAATCATTAATTAATGCAATCGGATTGAGTTTCATAATTATTTTAATATTATTCCAAATTTTAGTAATTTGTATATATTATTGTAATAGATTAAGAAATTCTATCCCTCTTAATATTATTACAGTTCTTCAAGTAAAAAAGTATCATCATTAATGAAGGCTGTTAATAATTGGGTATCTAATTTTAATTATTTTTAAATTGTAAAATAAATTCCAGAACACTAATTTAGTTTCTTTATTCTTTTTGTTTTATTAGTAGTCATGTATTAATTAATACTTATTACTAATTTCATATGCTAATTTTTATAAATAATTTAATATTCTATAAATTATTCATAAATTCTATTAAAAGGAGTAATAATAACAATTCTCATTTCATGTGTTTCCTTTTTTAAAATGGAATTACAATAGAATCAATAAGTGAAATGTTTTTAGATTCTTAAACATATGATAAGGATAAATCGATCTGATAATTATGGATTGATTAAAAATAAACTAGAGTTATTTTTTTTCTACATTTTGAAATTTTGATTGTAATTAAGTTGGCATGTATTTGGACTCTTTATTTATTGGATTTTTTTACAATTTTGTAACAACGACGCTTAGTTTTCTGAATTAAGGTTTTTTTTTTTTTAAGAATATTGAATTGGTTTTATGAATTTGATGAGAATAGGAAGAAGGTGTAAGGGATATAATTTTTTTAATAATATGAATTTGTTTCTATCATTACATTTTGTTAATAATCAAGAAAAGTTTTTATTTCTATTAATAAAATAAATACTCTTGTCATCAAATTTAAATACATCTCTTATAATAATAAAAAATATTTGATTACATTTGCTATGGAACTTTGAAATTTGAAACACTCGTTATTATTCTTGTATAGAGTATCTCAATAAAAGAAGAAGTTAGAGGAATATCAAAATATTATTTTAAAAATGATATTGATAAATATTCTAACTTGCAAGATAATATTACTAAAGCATTAGGGGACCAAGAGAATTTATCCATAATTTCTATTGCTATTAAGGTTAATAAAAATTTTATGGGATATTAATATTGAGCTATAATATTGACAGAAATATCAAATTTGCGATTTTTTTATGAATTAAGTATATTCTTGGGGTATAAAAAATTTGATCAAACCTTATAGAAAGTCATCTCCTTGATAATATCTATATATAACTTTTAATCAAGTTAATCATGACTTAGAGAATATTTTATGTCTAAAGTTATCTACCTTCTATAAAGGTTGAATTTAGAATCCAAATAAAGCGATTACAAAGGAAACCTTTTCTTTTTTAGTTTGATTTCATTATTACTAATTCTTTTCCTATTGCCATGGAGTCTAAGATTATAATGACATCTATATTACATTATCAAATTTATATGTTTCAAAGAGTGTATTTTGAATGTGTAGAAATAATTTAATTAAGTAGGAATATTTAAAGTAGTATGAAATATAAAATATTTAAATTACCTTACATGTCATCTATATTCAAAGAATATAATATGAAGAACTGTCAGATAGATTGAATAGAATTATAAATTTGATAACTATTAATTCATAATCTAATTTAAACACAGATAAATGTTCTAATAACATGATCAAGAGCATTAAGAATAAGTTCTTAATATAGAGGAAATGAATTTATTTTGATATTTCTATAATGCAAAAATAAAAATAATAAATGAATTGTTTAAATTAGAATTAATATCATTTTCTCATAACATTTGTTCTTAATGTTCCATTATTTAAAATGGATGTAGACATGTTTTTAAAAACTGAAGGTTATTCATAAGCACCTGGGCCAGGAATTTTATCATTTTTGGTGAAATCAGATTTATTTCCATAACCAAGAGAGATCTTATTAAATCTTGAAGGTTCAAGGATTTAGGTTTTAATTTCATATGTATTGGAAGCAGGAACTTTTTCTTAGAATGTAGCTAATGGTTTGATTCTAGCTCCAATAGTGCAAGCAGGCTAAAAATAAAAGGAAATAGATTATATCAATTACCTTATTAGAACCAATGATTTATGAGACTTCATATGAGTTTGGACTAGGTCCTTAAAGAGTATGTGACATTTTGAATCTATCTCTTTGAGACCAATTTGTTTTTCTATATTATGTAGGTTATTTAGTTTTTTAATTAAAATAAGCATCTGGAGGTGGATTTTATTCAGCATTTCTTTAAACATACAAGGGACATATATATTTATTACCATATCCAAAACCAGTAGATCTGCCAGAAGTTCCAAGAGTATCAGGTATTGTATAATTGAACTCAGTTTTAAGAGTAGAGTCTTTATCAAATCTAAAATAATCAAATAATTTACCTCTAAGCTTTACTAATAGATACTTCAGGTATACTGTGTCTTAGTGAAGATGCAGATTAATACATTGAAGTACCTTTTCCTTATTCAATCAATTTATGTCTCAATTAAGATAATTATAAAGTTGATAGAGTAGATCCATTCAATGCAGAATTACCTGTAACTCCTTATGTGTTTGTATTACCACTTCGAACTTTAAATGATAATGCAAAAACATCTCCAGATTAGATAGGTTCTTAATTAAGTTACCCATTTTGAAGTAGTAATTTATATGTTTATTACATTTCAAGATTGTCAGGAAGGATTTAAGCTTCGTTATCATTTACTTTTATTGTTATAGGTTAATTTCCTTCAATAACTGGAACCAAAATATTAATTGGAGATCGATCTAAACAATTATTTTTAGATATAAACCTGCTTTAGTCACTAAATTAAAAAGAATGTCATCTTTTTATTTCAATTCAATTTTTATAGGTTATTCATCTTTTACAATAAATAACCTCATGTCTTATAATCTAATGCTCATTATTTATTATTAATAATTATCATAAATTCCATGATTTCTTTAATATAGCCTCGAAACTCTCATCTTATTGCACAGATGATGAAACATCCTAATATAATAGATAATCATTTTATACTTAATAAAATTCTCCAAATTCTTAAAATGGAATCACTCTATCAGGATTACCTTTATTCCAATTAGATACAAAATCTTAAAATACCTATCTTTCAGTCTTATAACCTTTTAAAACATCTGGATGTTCCTTTACATTGATTAATCGACCCATTGTTTCTAGAGTGACTTTCCCTGCTTTCTACTCAATTGATGCATATGCTCTTTAAACATAATATAATCGTTTTTCATTCATTTATAACTAATCATTAAATACTTTAATTACTCTGAATGCATCCAAAAATTCATTAAATTCAATCTTCCCATTTCCATTTTTATCAAATGTTTAGAATATCATTTTTGTCTCATCTTCAGACAGACTCAATCCAAAATTTCTCAATCCCCATTTGAAATCATTATACTCTACCTGTCCATCTTAAATAATATTATATAATAAAACTATTATTCTAATCCATTTCCATAAATACTTTAGCCAATCCTCTCAATCCATAGGCTCCCCTACTTGTAATTTATTATTTGACTCTAATCATTAAATTCTTAACATTTCTATTATCATCCATCACAGATTCATCAAATTATTCATTTTATTTTTTAGCTACCTAAAACTTCCATAAATTTTATGGTCTATATAAAAATTGATAAATACTCTTAATTTCTTAAAGGAATATCTATAGTTGTTCTACCTTCTTTTTCTGCTATTAAATTTTGAGTTTTATTTAAACATTAATAAGAATGTACAAAAACTTCTCTTTCTCTTCCAAAATCATTTTAATATATAATTTCATCACTAGCTAACCAATGTTAAGTAAATGAATGTTTAATTAGAACAATATCATCTGATCTAACTGGTTATCCTTCCATCTCAAATCTTATTTTAGGATCTGCATGTTCAAATTTCCATACTGTATTAAATACATCACTTTCTATTGCACAAACCTCTTATTTTCTTGATATCTTAGCACATCTTGTTGGTGTTTATGGAAGTGAATGTAGATAAAATGTTTTATTATTAGATATTCTAGGATTTGCAACAATTCTGAAATGTTATCCATAATGTAATAAATCATCTCCATAATAATTTGGTTCTTTTGTATAAGGTATTATCACAAATACTGATCTTACTGTTGGTTAAGATGTTTATGCAGTTGTAACATTGTATGCTTCCTCTCCTATTTTCAATCTCTCTTATATATCTATTGACAAAAACCCTTAAGTTTTCACATTCTAAATCATCAAATGAAATCCAAAATGAATGTAATCATCCTAAGGAAATGATAGAGATGCCAATCTTAAACTGAAATTTGTTTTTGTGTCTTTCACTATGCTTGCCAGTTATCCATTTTATCTATTTTTTAAATAGTCTTTCTTCCTATATAAATTATGCATAAATTATCACTTTGTTTCATCCAATTCCCATTCTTCAAACCAATTACCAATACGGGTCTAAAATTTATATTTATGATCGACATTATAATTGTGCATTTATTATTAATTTATTTATATTTCTATGAATACTATTTTAATTTATATGAATATTCTTATAATATATGTCAATCAAATACTTTTATGTTATTTTCAATAATTTATAAATTAACTTCTGTCATCTAATCACACATTTTTATTTATTCCTTAATAATATTATCAAATTGTTGATCACCTCTAAATTCTTAAACTTTATCTATTCATTTATCAAAATAAACAATCAAATTATGATGTTATACTAATTACTTTCACAAAATAATTTAAATTATATTCATTAAACATCATATTGTTTCTATAATAGAATAATTAAATAAATCATAATAAACAAAAAAAGATCATTATAAGTGGTGATTTTAATTGATAATCGTATTTAGAAACAGTTTCTAATTTTATAGAAATATTTAGAATGAAATTTACAAATAATAATCTTTTTAAAACCTTTAAAAATAGAAATAATTTAGAAATAAAATTAAACATAAATGATTTTATAAAATATAAAAGAAGTTTAAATGAATCTAAAAGCAATATGATAAAAATGAATTGATTTAGTAAATAATTTATTTATAATATGAGTTTTTTTATAGAAGAGTTATTTATCTGATATAGATTAATATTAGACATGAAAATAAATAAGTTTAATATAATATAAATGTATTTTGAATAAGAATGTCGAAAATTTTTAAGACCTCGAAGATTAGAATA